CAATCAAATGCTTGATTTGGCTGTAGGTATTGGACATGAGGTAATCACAGCTTTGCTGATATTCAGACCAATTTTCAAAAAAGTTAACAATGAGCAACTGTAGACACAATGTTTTAAACACAATGTAGATGCAATATTAGCAGTTACTTTGATTTGCTCCGCCAACCTAAACAGTTCCAAACAAATTCAAAAGTAAATGAACTCTTGAGTTGCCAAGCAAGACACAGTAGTGGCGTTTCCTTCTGGAGTGAACTAGTCTTTTTGAAAAAAAAATCAACTGTGTGAATGATTCAATGACTCATAAAACAGTGACTTATTTAGTTCCTGAGTAAACCAGTGTTTTCAAACAAATCAGCTGAATGAATTAGTGACTCATTCACTCATAAACACAGTCACTTGTCGCCACCTACTGTCTAACTATATGACCTGCAGAAAGTGTCGCTGAAAAATAACCACTACACAGACTGACAAGTCTGTCTGAAACACAGACGAGTGCAGTGATACAAACAGGGTGGCCTTTAAGTGACACCGATGGAAGTTTCTAATATAGTAGCAGTCTTTGTACATCTTCATCTCAATAATAAAAGTGCTCCACAGCTGCTGAAATGCACTGGCTGGCACTGTAACACCGTTCACTTCAGAAGACCAGCGCTGCATACTAAAATACAAGAGAGAGACTGAGAGGGACAAGAGAAAGACATAGAGAGTGTGTCTGATGCTCATTATGAACCCATGTTGCACTGCAGCAGCAATTTTTCCCAGTACCACCAAGACTGGATCTAACAATATATATGTAAAAGCTATGGCTGTAGAAATACTGACAACTGTTAATAACTGACTAACAATGCTGTTGTAGATAACTACATGTTTATGTTGGCATAACTGCTACATTAGTCAACATAAAATGTTGTTTGCAATTCAAATTACCTACATAGTTTGATGTATTTCAGTGAAATAAGATATTCAATACACATTTAACAACCACTAAAGCACTAAAAATCTAATCACTCATGACATGAGGAACATGTGCATAACCTGTAAGAAACATACACAAAACATTTCTGACAGAGTCAGCAAACTTGGAACCGTAACCGATTGGAAAAAAGCAGTCTGTCAAAGAAATACATTACTCATCAAACGCTTATGAGGCAATAATAGCAAAATATAATTAAAGATTACAAGCCTCAGAATTCAGTTACTGCAATGATTGTCTAAAACATATTACTTTGTCACAACTGAAGTAGATGTATGAATAAGAACTGGCATGAATGAGACAAGGATCTCACTTATCTTGCTAGTTAATGAACAGAAGATGTTCTGCAGATGTGCTATTGATTTAGCTACAATGCAGTACCTGAAGCTGGGAGCAGAAAACGCAGGGGGCTTTTCCACTGTCACAATAATATGTGCATAAGTGTGTATTTTGTGGTCTAGTGCTGTCTGTTTCAATCACACCTTGGGCCTCAAGAACAAATTTCTGACAGCAAAAGCCAACCAAACTAATTTTGGCAAGTCAAAAACACAGAAAAACGTCACAAAACAACCATAAAATCATACAAATATATTGCTGTTGAGTAATTAGTTTCTATACATAAGGATCAGATTTTTACATACACAAAACTTTGTTTTTCTGTCATGGTGGGGGTATTTCCAATAACTTTACTTGTTTTTATACTGAGCGAATGATCTTTCTATCCCCTAATAAACTGTATAAATTATTCCTTAACATATGAACACATATCTATACCCAAACATACATAAACACACTGCAGATATCACAGTTAAAATTAACAGGCCATAGAACCTATTAAATCTCATAATAATCACATACTGTAAAGCACTAAATATCTCTGCCATTAAAAACATCTGCATCACTACTAACATTCTCCTAACAGAAATATGACAGCAAGCTGGATATCAGTTTAAGAAATAAGGGATGAAAACTCAAGAAAAATAAATACATATTTACGTTTAGAGTCCTTCACACTTTTCAAGGCAGACTGCAGTCTCTCCAGCATGGCTTGATGTGTGTGTGTGTATTAGTGTGTGTGTGTGGAGGCAGGATCCCGGTCCCGGATCACACTCCGTTTAAATCCCAACACATGTGAGAGCGATCACGCGAAAGGGTCATAATGAGAAAACGAATGGAGGGCATAAACAAACAAACAAGCAAATGAAAACAAAACAGAACGAGCCTCTGTCTCGCCGTGCGAGCGAGTAGCTTACTGTAACGGGTTCATTTTCCTTTGGCATCTGGAGTCGGTGAATGAGAGGGAGGGAGGGAGGGGTGGACAAGCAGAGAAAAGGAGGGAATAAAGACAGAGAGATGGAGATAAGAGGAGGGGCGATAAGAGAGCGAATGAGACGGACGATTTAATCCATGGACCACTGCAGAACGGGGGGTGTGCCGATCAGGGAAAGACAGCGAGAGAGAGAGAGAGAGAGACCTACATGCACATAAGTGTGTAATCTGACTTTGGCATTGCTGATGCATGCTGGTCATGCCAATAAAAAAAGCGTTTGAGTGATTGAAATTAATGCTGTATCAGCGCAGTGCATACGACAGCACTGGTGCACCGTGAGAATAGTTCATGTAATAATAGGGGTATTAAAAAAAATTAAATTTAAATTATGTTAGTATTTATCCTTATCCTTATGTCATTTCAAACCTTCATGACTTTTTTCTTCTGTGGAACACAAAAGGTGAATTTTTAAGGAAAATACTGCACATACTTTCCCATGTAAGTAAATATGGATTGGGTCTAACTTCAAAATGACATAAAAGCATTAAATTGCACACACACACACACACACACACACACACACAAACAAAAAAAGAAAACAAAGAAATGCTACAGTACAATACAGTACAGTACAACTAGTATAATCACTCTTATTGATTCATTGATCTTGTAACTCGTGTTTTGCTTGCTGACATAATTCTCTCTCTTTTTATCAGTCTCCCAGTGTCTCCCTTGACATTTTTAAACCGACACCATTTCTGATTTTTACATAGCTCTACAGTCATCATACAGCATGTTTTGATGGTATTTCATGCTCCTCTGCACAGCCGTACATACAAACACACACACACCCAGTGTTTCATCAGACATCACAGTCTCAAGATGGACAGATTGAGCCTATAACATCCAGCCATGTATGTACAGTACATGTGTACGCACAACCAATAGGCCACAGCTCAGGCCAAAACAATATAGGCTTTCTATGTTAATGGCACAATAATATAATACCAGATTAATTTTTATTTATTCCATATATATAATCTCATGTTAACTCTCATTGTAACTTAGACTCTGAGGGGTGTGTAAAACATCAAGACAGCACACACTCCCAAAAAGATTATGAAATCAAGTCATACAGAATCGAAGCATCTGAGATATTGATATGCATGGAAACAGCTGTGACATTGGGGACAGGCAATTTTTTAGATGCTCAAGCTCTTAGTGATGCCATGGCCTCAATAAAAACCAAAGGAACACTGAGCAAAATGAGGTCATTGTGGGCTTAGGTAGGGGAGAGTGGGAGGGGAAGGAGGGCTGCATGTATCCGGGCCTGACTGTTGGCAGGCCTCTGTCTCACTGTCAGTCAGTCAACCTAATACAGCTGCCACTGAATAAGCCCAATTATGCATATAACAGTCTACAGCCACTTTAAAGACCCCATGAAATCAAACTTTTGTTTCTGTTTTTTGTACACTCTAAAAAATGCTGGGTTAAATAAAACAACCAAACCGCTGGGTCAAAACAACCCAATAGCTGGGGTTGTCCCTTTTTAACCCAGCATTTTTTAGTGTAAAAAAATGTCATGAGATATCTGTAAACTAGTGTGCTCCAAAACATTAAGCATTGAAAACTTACAGTCTCTCACTTCTGACGATACAGATCAACAATTTTTATGACAGCATTCTGCACTTCAGCTTCTCATCAGATTTTCTGACCAATCAAAAGCTTTCTAGGATCTGAAGCCTCCAACCTCTTACACTATAAAAGACACTAAAACCATGGCTTAAAGGGATAGTTCACCCAAAAATGAAAATTCTGTCATTAATTACGCACCCTCATGTCGTTCCAAACCTGTAAGACCTTCGTTTATCTTCGGAACACAAATTAAGATATTTTTGATGAAATCTGAGAGCTCTCTGACCCTCCCATAGACAGCAAGGATCCTTACATGATCAAGGCTCAGAAACGTAGCAAGGACATCATTAAAATAATCCATGTGACATTAGTGGTTCAACCGTAATTTTACGAAGCTATGAGAATACTTTTTGTGCTCAAAGAAAACAAAAATAACTACTTTATTCAACAATTCGTCTCCTCCGCGTCACCCTATAGCGCCATTTTGGAGAGTATCACATACGTAAACAATGTATGCAACATATGTACGCAGATACATTGTTTATGTTGTTTACGCTTTGATCTGAACGTAAACAATGTATCCGTGTACATAAGTACATAATCCTTGCTGTCTATGAGAGGGTCAGAAAGCTCTCGGAATTCATAAAAAATATCTTAATTTCTGTTGCGAAGATGAACGAAGATCTTGCAGGTTTGGAACGACATGAGGGTCGTTAATTAATGACAGACTTTTCATTTTTGGGTGAACTATCCCTTTAAATCTGTTGCTTGTTCACACATTTATTATGTTATATATGGCAAATAGCACATAGTGCACTATATAGGGGATGGGGGAGTGATTCAGACTTTTTAAACATGCTTTCCATTGGGGGTGAATGAAATCTGGTTTCATGTCAGTTTTGCTCTTTTTCCTGTATTGGACAAATATTACAAATGGACATAGATTTTTATTAATATACAGAGGACACATGAAATTATTCAGAAAGATCAAGGGGTCGTTGCAGGCTGGACTTTAAAAAACTAAGTTAATTCTACCTTATATGTTTAATACAAAACTCAGGGAATATGTAGCATATTTAGCAACAGGTTACTGCATGGTGTTGATGCATTACAAAAACTCACCTTTGACATTCTCTACATCCTGAGAGGCGATAACAAATCCAAAGCCTTCACCTGGCTTCCTCTTCAGCTCCACCTCATACCCCCTCAGCGCAGGAGGCTGTTCTTTCTCCTCTGATTTTACTCTGGGACTGAGTACTGTCCCTCCTTCCTCTGAACTCATCCAATCGCGTGGCTCTAGCGTGAGAGTGACAGGAACAGAATCCAGGAAGCTGGTGCTCTGGACCAATGAGGAGCGCACTAGCGCTGGAGAGGGCGGGGTTAAAGAGCTGCGCGATAATGGCATGGAGTCAGTGAGAGGGACTTCAGAGTCGGAGGCGGAGCGAGGAGGGGGAGGAGTCAGTCGTCGCACAGAATTAGGCGAATTGGAGAAATGTGAGGGGCCTACAAAGAAAGATTAATATTTGATGAGCAGGGATGAAGAATTTACACAATTAAATTTATTTTACAGCAGCACTCGAGTTGCATGACAAGATTGAGCAAAACCTTATGATTAGTGACACAAGATATATTAGTATTGGCTGATAAATTTAATGTTTAATGTTATTGGAATTGCAAAATAGGCTGATACATGTAGGCCAAGAAATTATAGACAAATGATCATGGGACACCACATTATTATTAAACAAAAAAAATATTATTAAACTAAACAAATAAATAAATAAAATATGAAATATAAAATAATTCAATGCAATAAAATAAAACAAAATACAAATAAATGTCTACTTGGAGACTGTAAGTTTATTTGATCTATTGCAGACAAGTATTTTATTTCTTCATTCCAAAATAAAATAAAATAAAATAATTGCTTAGAGCCAAACATCAGGCATCATATATCATCAAACATAATATATTTTCACTAGTGCTGTCAAACGATTAATCGTGATTAATCGCATCCAAAATAAAAGTTTTTGTTTACTCAATATATGTGTGTACTGTGTATATTTATTATGTATATATAAAGACACACACATACAGAATATATTTTGAAAATATTTACATGTATTTACATGTATATATTTATATTCATATAATTTATATTATATATAAACATTACATTACATATTATTCTTAAATATATACATGCATATGTTTGTATTTATATATACATAATAAATATGCACAGTACACACACATATATTATATGAACAAAAACGTTTATTTTGGATGCAATTAATCGCGACCACTAGTGGTACGCAGAGGAATCACTTAATTAAATATAAATTAATGTTAAAGTGCCCCTATTATGGGTAATGAAAGGTTCATATTTTGGTTTTGGGAGTCCCCAACAACAGGTTGACATGCATGCAAGGTCAAAAAACACTTTCATTGTCTTATAATATGCATTTATTTTTACTTTACTTGCTCAACGACTCTCAAACGATTCGCTATTGGTTACTGAGATGACGTCAGGATGGTGTCCCTTTGGGAGAGCCCTCGTTGGATTGGTTGGTTACTTGATGACGCAGAGGAGCCTCTGGCGGTTCTTCTGAGACAGTCTAAGTTTGCAAGACTTTAAGTTCTTTGAAGATCTCTGACGATCACGAAGTTTCAACTGAAGTGTTTGAGTTTTAGATGACCAGTCGCTTTGATGGTAAGCGTGTGAGCACAAGTTGGAGTGCTTGTAACACGGCAAAAAGCGAAGAGGCAAGCAAGCAAGCACTGGAGTCTGTCTTGCATTGGGGTTTTGATCCGCGGCCTAAGTCCGTCCCACGGCGCGATCTTCCAATCGACTTCTTGCAAGGCGGAGCGTGCATACATTAACAAGAGGCTCCAATTTATTATGTGGAGAAAAATCTTTGCGAAGATTTGGTTGATACTTTTATAAAGTTTCCTAATGCGAGTATTGTACATACTTCTCACTTCTCATTCATACCAAAGTTTCTCACATAAAATAAGCTTTCATTCAAGCTCAAACAACAGGTATTTTGCATACACAGTAATCGTAATAACTAAAAGGAAAAGTTATAAGGCAAAGATTAAGATATCATGGTTTCAATAACACATCAAACAGAAAGCATATTATTTGGGAGTATATTGCTCCGATACTTTAAATGATTTTAAATGATTGTCTTATGAATTGTCTGTGTAAGTTCTGTTTCTTTGTCTGTGACAGGAAGTAGTAAAAGGATTCGTCCCTTTTTTTTGGAATGCAGGGGGAAAAGGGGAGGTGTCCTGAGGTCATGCCCATGTCACGAGTGTATGTCTGCCATTCTTCTCGCTCGGACATGGAGCTATAAAATTGTCTCTTTTGTTGACGGGATTATACATTTATGTGTTAAACGGTCATGGGGTCTGGGCGAGTCTGTCGCTGGAACATTTCCAGATACCATGTTCTTCGTTCTGTTGTTTATTAGCTGGTTTATTTATGCTGAAGCCGGTCAACGTTACACTGCACATCTGGTCCCTGAAAGCCCGTAAAACAAAGATAGTTTGTATCCTAGTTTGAGTTAGGGTTTAAGCAGTTCAGATCCCCCCTAAGGGATAAGGACCAGGCCTTGACCGGAAGCAGGTCCAGACAATTAGGTGCCCTGTTGATCATTGATCTTCTTTACGACCGTAGATAGCTGGGGAGGAGAGTCCTTAGTTTTTCCGGTGGAATGCGGAGATTCAATCGTTCATTTGTGCGATATTCGCAGAGGCCTTACAGGTGATTGGTCCGATTGTCCTGTAATGCCTGATAAAGCAGTGTTTGTAAGAGCAGTGCTGCTTTGTGTACGGCGTTACCGGGGAAACAGCTATTTTTACCGCTCCAAAAGTGACACCTAGTGGCAAAGAATGGCTTTGCATTTTCATTCAGACCAACGCGAAAAGAACAACAAGTGGGTGGGCAATATGCTAATGTTTCATGTTGACATCAACATGAAACTGCTTGGGACTCGTTTTAAAAACGACTCGTTTCAATGATTCAGAGTCAACTCTTTCTTGCGGTGCACTTTGAAATTTAAAACTTTGCAGGATGTTTTCATTCACTTAGAGCTGTGTTACACACTGCATGAAAGGTAATTTTCAAAAATCCATAATAGGGGCACTTTAAAACACTTTTAAAAAGTTTGCAAGCTGGCTAAATGATGCCCGTGTTAATTTTTTTTATCAAGTACTGTGCATTTTTTTACTTGACATTTAAGTACAGTACAGTTTTTATTTAACTTTTAGGTACAGTACATTTTAATTTAATCGTTTAAGTTTTTTTTTACCTGTACGTAAAAAACTGTATTTACAATGTTTAAAGTGGCCGACAATAATAAATATTCTTATTAGGAATAAAACTGCCTCATTTTTGAACTGTGCATAGCTGTAGCTGAATAATTAGGCCTACTACGCTACTGTATTTTAATGTTGGTCATTATGGTGGTACTTGGAGAGCCAAATATTTTCT